TAGCGGTAGAGTTCTGACTCCAACTTTCCCCATGTCTGTTCAGTTCTGCTTCCATGACTCCGACATGGTGATCGTGTTCTTCCTCCCAGTCTGCAGCTTTCCCATGCCCATGCCTGGCCCTTAGCATCCTATAGCACATGGACCGGTTCACGTGGTCTCAGATCATGATGTGCCGCTTGTGTAGATTTTTGGGCATTTACAACTGTCTCCCATATCAGACTACATATGCCTTAGGACAAGGGACACATTTCCTTTTTCTCCATCTTACTATGTAGATCTGGTTTCACAGGGTTTATTGTACAGCTATTTAAATGGTGGAAGGATTTTATCGAAATGGCTACATGTCTAAAACCCATATCTCCAATTCACAAATGTTGTGAATGACTCAGCTAGATTTCTGGGTTTTTGGAGAAAATTTCTCAGAAAGGGGCATTTTTCTTCTAATGGGAGATACCTTAGAGATTAGGCCAAAGTGAGGGTTAACACAAAGATAGAAAACCAGGGATAAAGAAGTCATCAGAATGAAGGCTCCCTTTCTCAGTGCTACTTGGTGCTTTACTTGTGAACCATTAGTCCTAAATGCTAGAAATGGTATTGCTAGTGGGCAAGCCAGTGTAGAACTGAAATCCTAGAGCATGGAAACTTAAGGAGGGATAATGAGTTCAAAGTCAACCTTGACTATATAAGGAATCCCTGACTCAACAACAACAAAGCCTCAAACAAACAAAACACATATTGTTTACTGACTTGTGGCTATCACTCAGTGTGACTGGAATCCAAATTTACAACATCAGCAATTCTTTCTTCTGGCAGCCACTGCAGAGTGGCTTCTTTCATTTATCATTACCCACTAAAGCTCTTCTACATCTTTTTGTGGGTTAACAACTTGTTTCTTTGTACTGCTAAATGGTATTCCAGTGAATGGATGCATTAGTTTGTCTGTTAAACAAGGAAATCTTGGTTGCTGTCAATATTTGGCAGTCAATTATTTACAGATATATGTAATTGCTAAACTGTCAAGTTGCCTTCCAAAGTAACTACAGGTTCTGTGTTCCCACCAGTGGTGATGCTGCACACTTACTCAGATGTGATGTTTGCTAGGGTTTTAGACTTTGGCTATTCTATTGCATGTGAGACAGTACCTAGCTGTTGTATTTACCAATCACCTAATGATAGATGATGTTCTCATACACTCAAATAGGAGATGATAGGAGAGGAAGTTACTGGGGATCACTATTAGATGACGAGCATAGACCCCTTCTCTTCTGTGTTAGTTTCCTGCTGTGACCACAATGAATATTCTAAAATATGAAAACATTTAAGACAAAGCGAATGTAATTCTTACAGTCCTGGAGTTCACAAGTGCAAAATAGATCTTACTGGACTGCAAATCAATGTATAGATAACACATATTCTTTCTGAGGGTCTGGGAATAGTTATTTTCCATATTTTAAAGGTTACTTGTGTTCTTCAGCTTATCCCCTTCTTCCTACATTTTAAAATTCATCTATGTTGGGCTGTCTCATATTATTCTCTCTGATTGTCTTCCTCTCCTACCTCTAAGGATTGTTGTGATGGCATTGGGCTGACCTGGACAACCTGCATAATTTTCTAATATTTCAGACTTCAAAGTTATCTGCATCTAAATCCCTGGAACAAGTGACTGCATGGAAAAAGAGGCTTCCAAAGATGTAATTAAGCCATGGATCTTGAAATAAGGATGTTACCCTAGATTATAAGATCTAAATATGATTAGAAAAGTCCTTTTAATTCAAGAACAGTATTTATAAGAGGAAAACAGATAATTCCACAACAGAGAGAGACAATGATAACTTTCCTGATAAAGTTTAAAAGATGAAGAATTTTTCTGAAAAAAAGTCTTGAAAAAAAAAGCTCCAAGACATATTGGGTGTTTTAGTCAGTGTGCTGGTTAGTTTTATGTCAAGTTGACACAACCTATAGCAATCAGAGAGGAGGGAAACTCAATTGAGAAAATGCATCCATAAGATTGGGCTGCAGGCAAGTCTGTAGGGCATTTTCTTAACTAGAGGTTGGTAGGGGAGGGCTCATTGTGGATGGTGACACCTCTGGTCTGGCAGTCCTGGGTTCTATAAGAAAGCAGGCTGATAGTAAACAAGGAGGACCCTTAGAGAGACATAACTGGTCCACTGGAGAAGGGGAAAGGGTCAAGATCCCCTGAGCAAATTGAGAGGGGGCAGGGAGCTATGAGAATGAGAAGGGAAGAGGAAGGATGCAGAGTTCATGAGAGAGCAGAAAGGTTGAGTTAGGGGAAAAATAGAAGAAAGGGTATGTGATAGGTAGGGTTTTAGTTGGGGGGTGGTAGGGGAGGACAGGAGGGAGAAGGGAACTGGGATTGTCATGTAAAACAATCTTGTTTCTAATTCTAATAAAAAAATCTAAAAGAAAGAAAGAAAGGAAGGAAGGAAGGAAGGAAGGAAGGGAGGAAGGAAGGAAGGAAGAAAAGAAAAGAAAGCAGGCCGAGAAGCCACGGAGATCAAGCCAGTAAGCAGCTCTCCTCCATGGACTCTGCACCAGCTCCTACCTCCAGGTTCCTGCCCTGTTTGAGTTCTTGACCTGGCTTCCTTCTATGATGGACTATAATGTAAATGTGTGAACCAAATAAAAACCCTTTCCTCCCCACCTTGCCATTGGTCATGGTGTTATCAAGGCAATGATAACCCTAAAACAGCCAGTTACCAAAGAGTACATACTGTGTAATGCTATTTCAAAGGAAATAAAATGCACCAGACAGAGCCATACACCATGAAGAATTCATCCACTTTAACAATGTCTCTGGGAATAGCAACGAAGAAAAATAATTCTATTCTGCATTGTTCAACTGCAAATACATTCTTGCATAATCTGTGTAGTACTTCTGAAGGACGACAGCTTTTTCTTGCTTACCATTATATCCAAGCACTCATAGTCCCTGGCAGGAAGTAGTCATTTAGTAGGGTCCAAAAAGAAGACTTGCAGTGAAAATTGAATCCTGAACTGGTGGGCAGATATATACAGGTATTCTAAATTCTTCCGGTTCAAAGTCTGTCACAGAAGTATGTCCATGTGTGTACTTCTCCAAAATGTGTATCCAACCTAAACATCTGCCTTAAAGTAGCTGCTTTGTACCCATTTTTCAAATGAGGAGCCTGAGGTTTGGGTGTGTCAGTATTTGACTGTTGTTTTCTCTTTCTTTTTGTGTTAATGCAATTTGACAGTTATAGAAATCTCACCAAATGGAATGTAGTAGTCATCTCTAGAAAATCTCCCTTTCAGCACTGTTTCACTTGTGTTATTTTAATTTTGTTAGTTAATTTACATAATTGGTTTAAAAATTGGTAGCAAAACACAGATGCAGGGGGCTGGAGAGATGGCTCAGAGGTTAAGCGCACTGGCTGCTCTCCCAGAGGTCCTGAATGAAATCTGGTGCCCTCTTTTCTCTGAGGGTTTGTCTGTAAAGACTGATGCTTGGTTTCTAAAGCCAAATCTATCTGTCCTCACTATTTGCATTGGTTTGGCAAATCATAAAATCTAGTTAACATAATATATATACATATATATTATACATATATATCAGCCTTGATGACTTGCGAGGTTATAGGCAGACGAATCTAAAAGTTCCTTCGTTAAGTAGCTGTGTGCAAAGCGTTTCCTCATCTGGAAGGGAGTGAAGGGGCGGGTGTCTGAGGCCATGCAGAGATGGAGGGACCCCCTCCAGGGTCTCCAACTCACGGCTAGAAAAACTCCAGAATTCCTCTTTCTCGGGTGGCTTTACCCAAGGTACAGCCTCTGCTGAGTCATACTGGTTCTGAAGTTTCGCTGGGTCTGCGCGCTGCCTCTTCCTCCCCAGAGCTCTAGTTAACACTAGCTTTTCCCTGCTCCGCCCGCAGCTGCTCCCGGGTGTGTGTGTTGAGCTCTCAGGCTCCAAGGAGGCTCAAAGCAGATTTCCACTGCCGGGTTCGGTGGGCAGCTGTGCTGAGCCCGGAATTCCAGGCCTACTTACCGGAGGTTGTGAGTAAGGAACCTCGAGTTCCTCGAGGCAGAAGTAGGGAGGGAGCGCCCTATAGTTGGAGAAAGGGATCATGAAGTGGTCACGGAAATGTGTTGAGACTAGATGAGGATGTCCTTTGTACAACAACAACAATGTCATTTGTGATCTCCCTCCATGAGATCTTGGAGTTTCACTATGTAGCCCAGGTTGGTCTGGAACTCACACTTCTCCTGCCTCAGGATTCTAGTGGACTGGGGTATAGGGAGTACAGACGTGTGACACCTTGAGCTTCTTATTGTACATTTAAAAAATAGGGTTCCCGTAGCCCTCCGTGCCCAACCGGCAAAGGAGGCGTGAGATGACGGGGTCTGCTTTGCTACTTCAGCAAAAAACTCGAACTACTTTGCTAACTGTGGTCAGGTAATGACCAAAGGCTAAGTGTGCAAACCCAGGCTCCCTAGAATTCCCGTCCACCGTCTTACACACACCTCATCATTCTTAAGACGCGGTTTTTGTTTGAGAAATCTTGTTTCTGAGATCCGGTCTTTTTTGTCTATGGTAGGAGGTATACGAAACAAAAGTAACAGAAATAATGTTGTCTGTGACTCAGTGAAACTGTAAAAATGCCTAGTCTCGTATTTTTTGTGTGAGGATTCGTTAGTCTCCGGCACGTTGTCCTAATAATAAATGTTGACGGAATGAGCGGATAAAAACTATTTTTTTTCGTTAAGAGTCTTGGATCTACAATTTTGTCAGAATTTTTAGAAGAGTCAATAACATTTTGAACTTTCTTATTTCGCTAAATGGCTGTTATTACGTCAACAGTACCGGGCAGAGGAGGGTGGGGTGGAGCACCAGAGCGCTGCTCACAGGAAACAGAGCTGATTTCAAAACACTTTTCTTTTTGTAAAATGATATAGAAATAGAAGCCGAAATGGAATTTGGGGACAGGGGAAGGCGGTTCTCTGTTTTTTTAAAAAAAAAGCTGACATTCTTAAAAGCATTATTTCCTTTTATTTCTTTGTAAAGCAAGCGGGCCTCTAGCTGCTCTCGCCTCAGCCTCCCACATACTACTATCACAGACGCGAATCGGGACCGCCAAGCTCTGTTCTGTTTTCCAGGGATGGATCCGAGGTGGAGAACCGGGCAGGCAGAAAGAGGGCTTAGCAGGGCTCCAGGGGTGGTCCGCGAAATCCGAGACCTCTGCAAAGAAAAACGACCGGCATTAGAAAGCAGCCCTAGGAGGCCAGTCCTGGCCCGCCTCTGCGGTGCCCCGGGCGGTATGCAGT